AATCACCGATTCGATGGCTCTAACTGGCCCTGGGCTATAGAATCTGGTCGTGCTTCTCCAATGTTCGTGATTGCTCCAAAATAACTCGGGAAAATACTCCAAAAGCATAAATCCCTGCAAAAGTCAACCAAATCTACGAAAACACTAGAAAACACCAATTAGTAATAAAAGTGGCTCTAAAGAGCCAAAAACACTACTAATTATGACCAAGGGACGGGGGTAAAATACTGTATAAATAGACACATCACTCCGCAAGTGCACCTCAGTTCTGGGACAGATTTCACTCTGGGTCTTATTGTATACCCTTATTGGATTATTTGTCATTGCTAGACGAGGAGCCTACTTGTTCTGATGATTACTTGGAATGGTTCTATACGTACTCACATCCATGTCTTATGAGTACTGATGAAGTGCTTCGCCCACCACCTCAACCCAATAGGACAAACGTGGATTACGTAAGTTTATTTAAGTATTTAATTTCATTTATTTAATTTTGATTAATTAATTTCATTTCCTTCGTTTATTTAATTATCTTAATTAAATTTGACTCAATTAAATTTTTAATTTCATTTGTGTAGTGGGTGCAAAGATTCATGTCTCCATTGCGCAAGTTCATAGCTGAGCAGGGAGGCAACATCACCCCCACGGTGATCGAGGCGCAGGAAGCAATCATGGAGTGGAATGCCATGTTAGAAGATTGATATGTTTTATTATATTATTAGATTTGGTTTTAGTATTCTAAGTGTTATTACATTTGGTGGTTTGATGTAATTTTAAGAGTTTTAATATTCTAAGTGTTATTAGATTTGGAGCAAACAATTATTAGATTCAATGTCATGTTTTAAATGTTATTATAATAGTATTTCAAACTAAGTAGTATGAAAACAATACATATCCTATTAACATCATTCACTACCAGATAGATTTTTCCATGTAGCACGCCTATCTTGATATCGGTCCTCCCAACCTATAACGGTATCATCACGTATACGGAACCAAGGAGTAGCAATAGGAGGAACCGGGAAATTATCTTCGAACTCCAATCGCACGAAATGCCACCCTAATGATAGTATGCAAAAATCCCTATACGGACCAGTGGCAGTTGATGGAGCAGTCCAAGGTAGTACAGTGAGGCATGGGTAGACACTACGACCGTTCCTACCAATACCAAAACACATAACAGCAGCATTATAAAAGTTGGCAACCGGAAACAAGTCATCAATAGTAATCATCCAATGGTCCATGCCGCATCTCCCTCCAGTCCATGTGATACGGTGTATTGCTCCATCTAACTCTCCAGCAGTGTATACTTGAGAATAAATGTCGCGGTGAGCAGCAACCTCATTTGCAATCGAATCGAGCTAACATCCATTCATTCTGGTTACCTATGAAGAAATCGACAACACATCGAAATCCGTAGTTTCCATCACCAAGAGGATCACTCCACCCTTGTAAGAACGGAAGCATGAAGGCTGGAATTTTGTCCAAATATGCAAATTCCTCCAAGTTCAAATCATTCCCTACAAGTTAGGACAAATTTAGAAAAAATAACAACAACAACAACAACAATAGCAAAAAGAATAACAATGAACCTGAAGGTGTAAAAATGGGTGGTCTACGACCACCACGACGACCACCCCTACGCCCACCTCGACGGCCACGAGAACCCAAAATATGATCAAATCCGCTACGATTACGCCTAGTAGACGTAGACCATTGGCCTATCGATGGCCGACCCCTTGGAGTCTCGTTGATCTCTGGATCCGTAAAATCTGTCTGATCTCGGTGTAGCTCCTCAAATAGGACCCGGCTGACACCCCGCACAAAGCTCGGATCACGATCTAAGACCTCATCCACCAAAGACCTAAACAAGGATGCATCCTACTCTGACTCCTCAGCAAAAAAGGAATATCAACGCCATCACCGATCACTAAGGTCTTCCAAAATGGATGGACCTGATCCAAATACAACCCAGTTCCAGCACAAATTACTTTCCACATGGTGCACGCACATGGGAGACCATGCATCGTCAGCAACGCACACCCACACCTATCAAACACGTCATCAGATAACTCTCTCATCCTCATTAACTCTCCTTGTAAATTTTGGGCCGGTTTAGGGCACCGGTTTGGCCTGAACCGGTGCCTTTATGGGGGTGCCTTATTGTATTTTTCTACTAGTGAAAATATCAAGACCTCGAAATGACAAAAAGTCGTTAAGGTGAAGTAAAGGCATGACGTTGCGCTGCGAACCCATTCGCCGTCTCGATTCCTCTAATTGGTGACGAATCTCGATCAGCATACCCTCAATGTTGCTATGCACACGGCGGAAGATAGTGTCTAACGCTCCCGTAGAACTGTCGAACCATTGTTTAAGCACGAAATGTTGGATCTCTACTCTACATGTGTTGACGTTGCCGAAATGCATAACCAAATTTTTCCAAAAACGTACGAATTTCTCCTTGTGGACCAACCATTGCTCCTAAACGTATTTCACCAGTGGTGGGTTCGATGCTCCCCATGTCGCTTTCATAGTTTGCAACTCTAACTCATACTCGGCAACAGTGGTCGAACACATTACTTTTCTCCATCTACCATTTCGAAATCTCTCAGCCATCACCATATCCTTCCCACACAAATAGTGCGCCTTTGCCAACACATCCTTGTTAATGTGCCACCCGCATAGTAAATGCGCGCAGTTTGGGAAGACCTCTTTCAATGCCTTCATTAACCCCAACTCACAATCAGTTACAAAAACTTTTGGAGCCACCTCATATCCAATGTACAACTTTAATCTTTCCAAAACCCACTTGTAGCTATTATAAGTTTCACTCTTCAATATAGCATATCCGATCAGAAAGTTTTGGTTTGTAGGCGTGACACCAACGAGCTCGAAGAATGGCATGTTATATATGTTCGTCTTGTAAGTAGAATCCATCCCAATGACATGTGGATATGTACGTAGCATATTGGCCATCTCTGGGTGGGCTAAAAAAGCATGGGTGATAGCACGGGTATCCGGGTCGACATTTATCCAAGTGACATACTTGTGCTCATTTGCCAAGTGAACAAATTGGTGGGAAACATCTCGACCTTCACAAGCATCTAGCCGAACACGATTTCTCACATTGTAGATATGTCTCTTGTTAGGGTTCTCGTTCGGGAACTTCTCTTTCACGGCTGCCATAATGTGACGGGGCTTGGCTGCAGCATAAGTCATGTCGATAACAAGTGTTTTTGCAGCTGGACTAAGACCACTAACTTGTCGGTGACCCTCTTGATATACCATGAGCGGATGGTTATGCATGCCTTTTAAACCCTTTCTTGATATAAGGACCCATCCTTCCATGTCCCTCAAACATCGAGCCGAGATTTGAAACGTACATTTACAACCCTTACTCTTCGTGTTCTTGCGTATAGCATTCTCTCTATCTCGATTTTCCCCTATGTTCCTCTCCCCTCGATCACATTTCATATAATTAATTGGAAGCCCGTTTCTCAGTTTCTTATACGATGAATTTGTTAAAAAATCCTAATGGAGTGGCAATCTCTCTTGCCCAATCAAGAGCTGCTTCGTAGGTCGGGAACACTTCTCTAGTCTGAAAATGCGGACTATAATCAACACCATCAACGCCGTAGTCCGGTAATGACGCCTGATACAAATAATTATTTTTTAATTAATAATAACATTGATTATTTAATATTAATAACAATAATTTAAAAAAAAATATTGGTCAACCGGAATCCATGGTAACCGGATTTGATCTCCGGTTACCGTGGACCGTTACCGGATTTCACCTCCGGTTACCATGATCAACCGGAGGGCAAATCTGGTTACCGTCCACGGTAACCGGAGATCAAATTCGGTTACCGTGATATCCACCAACGGTTATGCACGGTAACCGGAGGCCAAGTCCAGTTACCGTGACGATAATCGGAGATAAAACCCGGTTACCGCAACGGTTAACCAGTTTTTGTCTCCGGTTGACGTCGTCAGTCGGTTTCTCCGATCAATATTTCGAATCACAACAACCGGAGAAAAAGTCATACCTGTTCTAAACGTGAGGGTGGCGTCACCGGTTCATTCTCCGTCGAGCCACCACGATCACTATCTATTTATCGTCGACTTTTACCGTCGTTGTGGATGTCCGGTGTAGAAGGTGGTGGTTGAGATGGTTGTTGTTGATTAGAGAAAGAAAATGAGAAAAAAAAAAGTTACTAAGGGCAGATTTGTCGGTTTGCTTGAAATGATGGCGGTGGCGATAAATTTGGACGGTGGTATTTAACAACCCCCGTTGTATACATAGTGTACCCCTACTTCCTCCCTATAACATTACCCTTAAATATATTATAAATTTCTTGTAAAAAGATAAATTCATTTTAAAATAACATAATGACCTTAAGGTTCGTTTGGCATTGATGTGGTTTTCTGTTTTTTGGTTTTTTGTTATATAAAAGTATATGATATATGTCACATAATGAATAAAAAAATTATTTAAACTTATTAAAATCATAATAATTTTGAAAACTGACAACAAAAAAGTGGAAACACCTTTTTCTTGTTTTGGTTTTTAGTTTTCAAAAAAAAAGGAAATTAAAAACCAAAAATGATGCCAAACAAGCCCTTAGCTTTTTATTTTATTAATTTTTTAAAGAGTCAAGTTAGAACAAAGTTTAAAAGTGTTGAACTTATAAATGAACACAAGCGAGCATATAAATGAACATGAAAAAGTGGAATATTAAATTGTTCGGAGCTAGTCTCGTATACTAAACAAGCTTGAAGTCTTTGTTCGAGCTCGTTTGTCAAACAAATAAACTTTAACCGAAGTTATTCATGGGCGGCACGTTGGCTCATTGATATTCCTACTAATATTATTTTATCGTAACAAGTCAAATAGCCAATTTACCGTACAAGACTACAAGCAACTATGATCCAACTTAGATGAGATGAGTTCTCATTCAAACATCGACTACCACCTGTTAGACTCTTACCAGACTCAATCCTATGAGCTGTAGTGCTATTCAGTATTCACTGCACCACTTCCCGAACCCCGTGCTAAGCTCTAAAGCCCGTGCATACCTTATGACTGCAGACTAACACGCGCGCATCGCACTCAATTTCTTTCATCATCAAAATTACCTGCCCACAATTTGACGAACATTTAAGAACATTCAAACCAAATTACTCCGGCCATTTTAAACATTTCCGACCAAATCGATCAGAATTTCGTCGGATCTCCCACAAATCTGAATTTGGGATCACTCACTCTTAGGTATTTTCTCTCTCTTCTGCTGCAACTCAACATTTTTTTTTTCTTCATTTTTACATTGGTAAGCTCATGGAAATTTCCAGATTTGGGGGTTCAGTTGAACCAATTAAAACCAATAGATTCTCCCTTGTTCGTAATTTTGCTGATTTTCATTTGGGTTTATGTACTTAAATCATTTTTGTATGCAGAAATAAGAGATGAAAGAGGGTACTGGAAACGGGCCTTTGATTTTGGACATTGAAGATTTTAAGGTAAATAGAAAAACCCAACTCATATTTACTTAATTTTAGGTAGTTAATTTATTTTGAATGATTGCATTGCCAATTTATCTTACACCCTTTTGATATTAGATGTTGAAGAAAAAGGAATAAGGGTTTTGAGTTATAATTTATTGGATTTCTTTTTAATTGTAGGGGGATTTTTCATTTGATGCATTGTTTGGTAATTTGGTAAATGAGTTGCTACCCTCTTATAATGAGGAAGACGGCGAAGCAGCCGATGGTCATGGTAATTTTAGTAGCAATGATGCATTGTCAAATGGGAATTTTCGAAATACGGATGCGGCAAAAGGGGTCTCCAACTCCATGCCTTTGTTTCCTGAAGTTGATGCTCTCTTGTCACTCTTTAAGGATTCTTGCAAGGAGTTAATCGATCTCCGGCAGCAGGTGTTAATTTTATGCCTTGGTGATCAATTAGTGATTGTGTTTGAGTATGATATTTTTAAGTTATAATTGGAGCTTCTATCTTATATATGCAATTTGTTATGAAGGTTGATACAAGGCTTAGCAGTCTTAGAAAGGAGGTTTCCCAACAGGATGCTAAGCATCGAAAAACACTTGCCGAGGTTTGTATGCTAATTTTCTAATTGCATCATATTTTCGCTTGTTAATTTAATTCTGTTTGATTGGATTTATAATTTAGTCTAGCTTAGGATTTTTCCCTTTTAAAGTAATAGAAATTATAATGGCATGAAATAATGCTATGCATATTAAATGAGTGCTTATCATGTGTCATGAGCAACTATCAATTGAGACTATTATCAGCTTCTACCAATCCCACTAACTTTTTCTAGCATGATATGTATGAAGTGTGTTGTTTTTCCTAAATTTTGCTGATTTTGCTACAGTGAATAGCATACCGTGGAGCTTTGCATGTGAAAATGCTAGACTATTGATGTGCACGAGTTTGTGTTCATATTTCTCTTATTTATTGCTTTCAGCTGGAAAAAGGTGTAGATGGGCTATTTGATAGCTTTGCAAGGTTGGATTCTCGAATCTCAAGTGTGGGACAGACTGCAGCTAAAATTGGAGATCATCTGCAGGTGAATTGCCTTTTTATTTGAAGCTTATGTAATAAGTATCAGCTGGACGTGTATTTGAATTTGCTTCTAGGCTTATCCTTTTGTCCATTTTGGATCCCCAATTTACTTTGTGCTGAAGTTGTGTGTGTATGTGTGTGTATATTTCTTAATTAAAAATTTCCAAATATGTTTTGGTTAGTTGCCAATGTTAACCCTTGTAATATCTTCTATTGCCAGAGTGCAGATGCTCAGCGAGAAACTGCAAGCCAAACGATAGATCTTATTAAGGTAATATTAGATGCTGCAATTTCTAGAATAGTTTGTCATCGCAGGCCTGATTTGTATTTGTCTTATAAAATTTACAGTATTTGATGGAGTTTAACAGCACCCCTGGAGATCTTATGGAACTTTCGCCTCTGTTTTCCGATGACAGTCGTGTTGCTGAGGCAGCTTCAATTGCACAGAAGCTACGTAAGATGTCACATTAACCCATAAAGTTGAGCTTATAAATTTATTTTCTTATAATTTATATTCTCTATTCATGTGTTGTTTAGTAATAAAACAGAGGATTGTCACATCTGTGCATTCTATTCTCTATTCATGTTGAATGTTTAAACACCCATTCGTATTTACAGGGCAATTTGCTGAAGAAGATATAGGAAGACAGGGGATAGGAGTACAGACGGCCACAGGAAATGCCACTGCCAGTAGAGGATTAGAAGTCGCTGTTGCTAATCTCCAGGAGTACTGCAATGGTTAGTTTGTTATTCTGCTTTAGGCATTCTGCTTTAGTAGTTTAGTCACTAATGATATTCACAAAAGATTGAAGAAATCAGGTTTTATTAAATACATGTCATTGATTAATCATATAAAACACCACCTAGTCTTTTCTGAGAACTTGACAGCAGCAATTTTAAGTAATAACTTTCATATCTTTCTTGCTTATGAACCAAGAAGAGGTGTGGAGCTATTTTAAGACCAGGGAATCATTTGATATTGTTTTATAACTTTGAAATATATTTAGCATTGCAAACCTTTGTTGTATGGTTTCTAAATTTAACTGCCTCCGGATTTTCTGGACCTTGTTTGGGTCTTGGTTTCTTCTTATAAACTTTTTAATTGTTTGTCTTTTTCTTAAGAATTGGAGAATAGATTATTACAAAGATTTGATGCTGCATCACAGAGAAGGGAACTATCAACCATGGCAGAATGTGCTAAAATATTGTCCCAGGTAACATCTGCTTGATTGCCTTTCCAAAAAGTTTCATGTGGTTTACCTTGTTTACATGAAATAGTATGTCATCTATCATCACATAAATGCAAGTATATCATCTAGATGAGAGATTCCTGTAGTAAGTTGATTATTTTTGACATAAAGTCATTTTTATTTCTTATAAGATAATTTAGTACCTTGCTCCTAGGACATTAGATGGGCCGGTTCTTGTGTTTATATTTTTTTTGGTGTCTCCACATTGTTACAACATTTTCCTTTTGCCATAATCTGTCAATTAATCTTCGCGCTTGATGGGTATCTAAAGATTGTAATTACTTGCATAGTTGCATGGCTTGGACTCATGATTCATGATAGTATAGTCAACAAACAACTGCCTTCTTCATTGGCCTTATGCCAGCTGGGACCGAGATTTGAACTTATGTAGATATGATGATCTGATTAGTACATCTCGTAGAGGCTCTATTCGTCCAATTTTGGTCTTTGATTCAGGAGCTTCTATCAGCTTCATGGGATGGATGTAGCAGAAAAGCCTTCTTGTTCTAGGTGTAGTTTATTCCCTACATTTTATTATAAAACCAAGGGAAATAGTAATGGTAGATTTTCCCTAGATAAAAATGCTATTAATTACAAATTAATCCTGATCTTACCTTTTCTTTCCTGGGTTGCAAGCTGGTGCACATTAGTCTGTAAAATTTGTTGATCAAACAGATCTCTTTTTTAATACTTGTTTCATTTCATTTCTGGCTTTAGCCCAGCAGAAGAAGCCAACTACTATAGATAATGATGGTTTTAATTGTTAGTGTAAAATTCTCTAGAGAGCTAGTTGACGCGCCATAATATTTACTAGGATAGTTGTTTCTGCTAAGATTAATTTAGCTTGTTTAGGAACACACAATTTTTCCTGTTCCATGCTCCACCAGACCACCCGTCCTTGTGCACCTAATGGACTATGCTCAGGCACCTCTCCTGGCCACTTTTCTTGATGAATTTCTCTTCAAGCTCTCTGAGATTGCTTAAAAACTCTGGGGCAGTGCCTCTCATTACTAATATGTCCCTTACTGCTGATACTGAGACCTGATTACTAAAAAGTAGAAATGCTTTTGGATTTTGAGCTGCAAGGAGCAGAAACATATATCTGACCTGAATGGGGAGCAGTATGCTGCAATCTTTTTCAGCTGAAAGCAGCATACTGCAAAATGCTTTATAGAAACTGGAGGGAAATCGTTTCTAAGGTGTCTTGAGGAAATTCACAGTTCATGCTTCTTGCTATTCTAGCTAAGGTCTTATTAAGTCTCCCGTAAAAAAAGTATGTACAAATAGGAAATTTCAGTGAGTTTCATAATTTAATTTTGCAAAAGGTGATTCTCTGGAAAATGACTATCTATGAGTGGTGATAATCTTCCTTGGATTTCCATTTTAGAATGGACCCTTAGGAGTGTTGGGGGAATTCTTTACTCAGGGTTCCATTTACAACCACCTTCAAGTATTGCCAATTTGTAATTTTTCCCTCTTCTGACTTTTATCCAGGCTTAAATTCCAAAGCGTGTGAAAGCTTTTGCCTAGGTTAGTAGTTTGGGGATCCTCAAACCTCAATACTGGTGATAATTTGGGGGCTCAAAGACCACACAATACTTCTCCTCACGTGTACATTTCGTCTTTTTAATGATGAGACAAGGGAGCATTGTTTTTTGGGTTGTCATCTACGAATACTTTATTAGTTTCATTGGAATCCATTGGATGTATACTCATGGAGGTCATTGACACCATGTATGAAATTTTGAAGGCATAAGGGGCATTCAGTTGTGGCAATATGCCTCCTCCCCCTCCCTATAATGTGGGATAAGATTGATAGGATTTGTGGTGACGATTCACTTGTCTTTCTTGGTTACTTTATGGGAGCAAGCGGTTTGAATTTTGAAATCTGGGGTATCGCCTGACTAAAGAATTCCAGAATCCAAATTTCAAACAATTCATCACAAATGCTCATGAGGCATTATCCTTTGAATCTTGTCTCTATATACCCTCGTGTTTGGGGGTTTTTGCTTTACTCCATTTTCATGATCTTGCTCCCCTATGCTTTCCTTCATTCTCTTCCAATTCTACTTTCACTTTCTCACCTCCTTTCATTTTCCTTTTTAGTTTTTGTTTTTGATTTTTACTTTAGCTTCCGTAAACTTAGTTTTCACTTTTCTTGTTCCATTTTTCTTGGACGACTCCTTATGACAATTCGTGTTAGCCAACCCCGAATCATTTTGGGACTATGGATTTACCGCTGTTGTTCTCTCTCTCTCTCTTGCTCTATGTGATTGGTCTCTTTACTTTGTATCTTTTCTTTTGCTATCAATCTGTTTTTTATTAACAAAAAAAATTTGCTTCTTTAATTTCTGAAGAAAAATTAATTCTAATAATTCAACATTTAATTGGCTTGCAAATAATAATCCGACTTTTTTGATTATCTTTTTAATAATCCAACTTTTTGCACATATCTGCTCTCATTGATCCCAACTTACTGTTAACCAGAAGAATAGGTCATATTTTTTTTTTTTCATATTTTTGTTTTTGACCATTGTCAACACCTTACAGCCACCACTAACACTGTTTGACCGCCATCACCTTTTGACCACCTATATTCACTCTCCTCTTCCTCCCTTTCACAGTCCACAACCAATGCCTAAACCAACTTCAACACCACCGTTTCAAGTCTTTGTGATGTGAAACGACCACCTAACCACACCGCGGAATAAAATGACCCACGCATGATTCGACCTTCACTGTCAATTTTCCCGGCAAGGGAGAACTAGATTAAGGATGTGGAGGGGTAGCGTTGGTGGAGCTGGGTTTTTGAGGGTGTGGTTAGGCTCCATCCTCACTCCTCGAAAACTCTAGTGCAAATGAGCAAACGGGAGCTATAGGGAAATTAAAATGAAGGGTTTTGAAGCTGCCGGTGAGGGTTAATTGCTGGTGGGGCTGGTTTTCCGGTGTGAGGTTAGGTTTTTAAAGGTAGTGGGTAGGCTTTCTAGTGGGTGGGTAGGGTTTGGTGGGTTTGATCATGGTGGTTTCTCGGTAGAGGATGAGGAGAGAGGAAGGTGTTGGAGGATGGGGAGGAGAGAGAGAACTTGCAAGTGGTGGAAGGGGGTGTAAAAGAGCTTGCCGGCATTGGGGAGAGAGGTAGTCAGCGCTTGCCAGCAAGTGGAAGGTAGGTTGTCTGTTCGGCAATGGAGGCCGGGAGGTGGTGGGTAATTGTTGAAGGAGTATTAAATTTCTAATAATAAGTATAAAATAAAATATATACTTCGACAAATTAGAAAGCGACACGAGGACAATTAACCTCTCATGGCAAGGTTATGGCCTATTGGGATTACTAGAAGTCAATAGGGGTAAAAGGTTGGATTCTTAAAAAAAATAATCAAAAGATTAGATTATAATTAGTAAGTCACTTTAAGGCTGGATTATTGAAATCAATTTTTCCTATTTCTGATTGATTTCTTTGCTTTGTATCAATTTTTGCAGTGTGGATTTTGTGTGTTATACAATAAGGTGGACTTATTTTATAATCGCTAATGTTTAATGCATTTTTCTGTTTTATACATATTTGGGCTTTTGGATTTCCCATTATCTCAGCATGTAACAACATATTAGACAGCTTTTCAAATTTGAGTTCTATTGTTTCCTGAAAATTTGTTTTACCATGAAGAGCATCAGTGGTCTTTTCTGCATCTGATGGTATTTCGTGATGGTTGACAGCAGCAATGAACTGCAATTCACTCTTACTGTTCCAGGGAGGATGGGATGTAAGCAGCCCTAGTGTCGCTAGGCTGTAAAAGCTTTCTTTAATTTGTGGCATATTGACAAGGTTCAATTATACTAGTTAATATAGGGAACAAGTGTCAGGTATTTATGAGAATAAGTATCCTTCAAGAACTCTTTTTGCATCACTTAGTATGTATTCTTGGCCGGTGATTATTCTTATCCAACGCATGCAAGCCCTGTTTTGGTTTCTTTTTACCTTAGCCTTTTTTAATATCTGGGACTCTGGTTTTCCCTGAAGCTGTTTTCTTCAAACCTTGAGCAGGGGTCATAGAGTTTAATATAATCAGCCAAGTAGCCAACAATAGGGAGGGGTATGATTGTAATTGCACATAAAATCAGTTGGAAAGCTTGAGGAAAAGATGGAAAATAAACTTTGGAGGGAAAGAGGAATCAGGAAGTCTATAAAAAGAGGAGGGTAAGAAGATAATTAGCTTTGCGAGAGCGTCAAGTTTCTGGAATACTTGATATTTATCTTCAATATATTGTTATTTCAACTTTATGAATCAAAATATATTTCGATTTCCTTTAAGCGCCTGTTGTAGCTAAATTTCAGTTCAATTCACTTCAGTTCAGCTCCAATCAGTTCAATTCAGCTCCTAATTTCCTTCTCTCATAAAATATTCATTACAGTTCAGTTTAGTTCAATTCAGCTCTAATCAATTTAGTTTAGTTCAGTTCACTTCAGTAAATGTGAACATACCCTAAATCTTCTCCACACGTACTATTTCTTAAACAGTTTACTTCATGACATTTGTTCCTTCCTTTATATAGGACAAGTCTTGAATCATTTGCCATTGTTTGGCTATTAGTCTTAGTCTATGTGTTTCTATGACCCTCCATGTTTCTATAATCTCTCACCTCTTCTGCAACTGTGCTGCCATTTGGCCGTTTAGCTAAGCTCTTTCATTACTATCATTGGTCACTATCTCATATGTTACACTATCACAACTTAGGCTTTGTTCTCTTCACCTGAGATAAGGTGTTGTCGTCTGAATTTTTTAAAGTCTGGTCTGATGTGATATGAGTTTTTCTAGTTTGATTTGATTGTCTAATTTGACTAAACTTTAATCTTGGTGGCTTGGTAGTACGTTAATGTATAAAAAAGACATTATTAAGCTGGGTCTTGTAAGATTTGTGTTGATTTGTAGTTTTCAAATATCTAATTTTTATAAATACAAAATTAAAGGTCTATGGCAATAAGCAACCGGAATTAAGAAAATCTGACCTGTTCTGATTTTAACAAGAATAAGAAATGATTAATAAGAATAAGGTGAAGAGGACAAATCTTAGTGGTGATAGACTGCATTTGTGACCTATGCTTTATGTTCTAAACTTTTTATTGTTGTTATAGAGAGGTTGCATTAATTCTGTCTTGTTGTAGCTCATTTGATGTTCAGTTTGATTTGCAATTGATTTTGATATTCAGTTTGGTTTGCAATTGATTGCAGATGATTTGTCATTTTCCATGTCATTGACTTTATCGTTTTTTGAGCAGTTTAACCGGGGTAGCAGTGCCATGCAACACTATGTGGCTACACGCCCAATGTTTATTGATGTGGAGATCATGAGTGCAGACAGCAGATTGGTTCTGGGTGATCAAGGATCACAAGCCAATCCTAGTAATGTTGCTCGAGGACTTTCTTCACTATACAAGGAAATTGCAGGTTTGGTTTCAATCCTGATGCACTTTAATGTAAATATCATATGTATAACATGAGGAGAAAATAAAGAGGATTGGGAAAAAGTAACAGGAAGCTTTTTCTGATGTTCCAAGAAAATTTTTGGAAGCCTGATTTTTATCCAAGATATAGGAAAGTTTTTGTGCCGCCAATTTCTTCTAATTGAAAAATCTGTGACAGATACTGTGAGAAAAGAGTCTGCCACAATAATGGCTGTTTTTCCTTCACCAAATGAAGTTATGGCGATCCTTGTTCAGGTATCTATGCTTTCTTTTTTATTTTTTTTTATATTTTTTTTATGTAGGTAATTGTGTAGGAGTTGGGTCCTCAAATTCTCCTTTTCTGTTCTCTGATTCTCCTACTGTCATTATTTCAGAAATTCTGAAACTTATTAGTATTGTTTAACAGTCAGATATGTACATGAGAGCCACATGTGTTGTTAAGCCCCTTAAGCCCTTTTGTTGATTGTTCCTGTAACTTGTTGCAGAGAGTTTTGGAGCAAAGAGTCACATCCCTTTTAGACAAGCTGTTGCGGAAGCCGTCTCTTAACCATCCACCTCCGATGGAGGAGGGTGGACTCTTAGTGGTAACTTGTGATTCCAAATCCTAGACTCTTTTTATTGCTGTTTTGTAAAGGGGGTACTCAGCAGTCTTTTTCCACGTTTGGTGCAGTACCTCAGAATGTTAGCTGTGGCATATGAGAAAACACAAGAACTTGCTAGGGACCTTCGTGCAGTAGGCTGTGGAGACTTGGATGTCGAGGGTAATGCTCTTTGATCTTTGTTTTTTCTATTATTCTTTGTTTAGTTTTGTTTTTGTGTTTGTATTTTTTTGCACGTTTTCTTGAGTTTTTGTTGTCATGGATAGTGGCTAGCTGAGGATCCTCATGGATGACATACTTTCCTGTTTTCTATTACCAGTCTTTTCTAGTTCCTTACTACTCTCTGTCTAGAATTCTTCTATCTCGCTAAGCTCTTTGCCATAAATTTTTTTTATTGTGCAAGGGATTTGTATGTGGTCATGTATGTCCACCATATCTATTACATGGTATCATCTGATAAGACACCATATATAAGTAATGGTTGCTAATCAACAAGTTTCTTAGATTACAATACTCCTTGTAATGTTCTTGTGTCACACATTAAAGTGCTTGGGCTTTGTAATTTTGTTATAGGTTAAGGCGCTAGCAAATTTTGTCATTTTTCTATGACCCACTAAAGGGCTTAGTTGTTGAATCAAACCAAAGCTTTCACAGAGGCCTTGAAACCTTCTAAACATTCTGTAGTCTGTAGGTGACAGCTGATTGATCTTTGTCTGTATTCAGGTCTGACGGAATCTCTATTTTCTGCACATAAAGATGAATACCCAGAACATGAACGGGCCTCTCTTAAACAATTATACCAAGCAAAGGTTGGATCCTGTGCAACCTTTTTTTTTCTTTGTATCGAGAATAATATTAGACTATAATCTTTTGTTATGCTGTAATAATTGGTTTTGCGTAATGTTTATTGTACCGTATAGATGGAAGAATTGCGTGCTGAAAGTCTTGCTGAATTAGGTGGTGGAACTGGAAGTATTGGACGATCTAAAGGAGCCTCTATAGCATCTAATCACCAACAAATATCTGTTGCTGTGGTCACAGAATTTGTACGCTGGAATGAAGAAGCTGTATCCAGGTGTAATTTGTTTTCTTCGCAGGTAATCCTTATTTTTAAGCGTTGATGATTTCTCTGTTTCTTACCACAAATCGATGTAATTATCTGTGTATTCTTGAAGGCATATAAGTGCAGACTTTGTTACTTTATGGTATGCCAGTATCCTCTGCATCCATTTTCTAGTTGAAATCTTAAACTTTCATGAATTGATGTATTATGGGCTATCTGATCTTGGAGTGGTAATATATTCTGGTTATGCTTTACCAAGTTTTGACAATATTTTTCCTTCAAGTGCAACAGAGTTTCCTCACTGGTCTAATATATTTGTGTATCATATTTAGTGTCATTATTAATGTAGAAGAGAGGATGCCATACAATTATGTTGACTTAAGGTGGTTACTTGACTAGAGCACCGGGTACATTCCACTCTGGACAACCCCCAAAAGCAAGTATCCTCTAAGAGTCTAAGGTTCATGAATCACTATATCTGCCTTTCCAGAGTGCCTTTGAAAGCTGAGAAATCAATATGGCGTATATGTGTATCGTGACTTTCAAAGTTATTCAAGACTTAGAGAATGCGTTTCCTGCTAGTTTTTTTAATTAATTCAAGAACTTGTGATCAAAGCCTGCATAGTTGGAGACGCTGTTACACTAATTCACTCATCACCCACGGAACCATGAACTAGTTTGTATTGGTTTGTGGTATGGTACACTGATTCAGTACCTATTTTAACAAAGTTTGGTGTTAATTTACGTTCCTGTACCCATTCCATGTAGCAGAACATGCTACATTCTAGGAAGGGATTCAGATTATAGTTGAAACTGCTGCTATCTGCGTTTGGTATTTGAATTATGATTAATTAATTAGTCCTAGAAAAAAAGTAGTTGAATTATGCGGATCATTGTTGATGGTTTTTAAATGATTGTTACTTTTAATTATCTTTATACAGCCTTCTGTCCTCGCAGCAAATGTAAGAGCCGTGTTCACCTGTCTTTTGGACCAAGTAAGTGGGTTGTTGTTTGCTATGTGGCATTTTCTTTGGTTACTAAAATATGATTACTCATTTTTCATGGCTACTTGTGATGCTCAGGTCAGTCAATACTTAACTGAAGGCCTTGAACGGGCTAGGGAAGGCCTGACAGAGGCTGCAGCTTTGCGGGAAAGATTTGTTCTGGGAACAAATATCAGTCGAAGAGTTGCCGCTGCCGCTGCTTCCGCTGTAATTATTTCATTCCTTGCCCACTGAACAGCCTTAATAATATAATAACAATCTAATGACAATAAGGAAAACATTGTACTTTTTATCTGCAACTGGTAGATCATGACGTCAACACTGGAAATAACCTGTTTTGTTTTAGGTATCCCCATTCTTGACTTAATTGACTTCGATTGTTTTTGTATAGGCAGAGGCAGCTGCTGCTGCTGGTGAAAGCAGTTTCAGATCTTTCATGGTTGCTGTACAACGTTGTGCCAGTAGTGTGGCTTTAGTCCAGCAAGTATGTCAATTTAGGTTATACTGTTGCCTTATTTCCTTATGAAACGTAACTCAAGCACCATTTTTCTCTCCAGTATTTTGCCAATTCGATATCTCGGCTTTTACTTCCTGTTGATGGAGCACATGCTGCATCATGTGAAGAGATGGCCACAGCAATGTCTAAGGCAGAATCTGCAGCTCATAAAGGCCTACAACAATGCATTGACACTGTGATGGCTGAGGTCTGGAATCTGATTCTTGATTAAATTCCTACTTTCAACTTAAAGCACCTTGTTAGATTCAGCTGTATACTTGTTTTGTAGGTCAATATGGCTTAGTTTTCTGGTGTGCCAAATTTCAACTAGACTTTGATTTTACCGTGACTAATATCTGTATTTCATGTTTCTTTATCTGGTATGATTATTAATTCATATCTTTCCCATGTGCAGGTGGAAAGATTGTTGTCAGCTGAGCAAAAAGTAACTGATTACCGTTCTCCTGAAGATGGGATCGTTCCTGATCATAGGCCTACTAGTGCATGTACTAGGTACTTCTTTCCTTATTTTTGGTTGTTTCTGTTGTTTTTGACCAGAACCAAGCTATAGCATATCAATTACAAACCTACAACTGCATTTCAAGTTTTCCAACTGTTGATTGTCTCTTTTTTCTAGCTCTGGATAGAGTGGTGCGATTTCTTTTAGGTCTTGAAGAAGGACTTGTGCTGTTTAAATTTAATGACTAAACTTTTTTTTTTTTTTTTTTTTTAAAGAGAATCTTATATGCTAAGTTGGAAATTGAAGCTAATGCATTAGTGATGTTCTTTATGTCATTATTTCACTCCTGCAGAGTTGTTACATATCTTTCACGTGTCCTGGAGTCTGCTTTCACCGCTTTAGAGGGTCTCAACAAGCAGGCGTTTCTTACGGAATTGGTACAATAACTTGTAACTATCTTTTTATGTTGATGTACTATTGTGTGTTTCATAAGAATCCTGGAAAGAACTGGTTTTTATCATTTCTGATTCTTCTCCACCATGTGTAATGAACTGAAATAACTCACGCTAATAACAGTAAAATAATGGAGAAAGCTCAGAAATTTGATTAAACATATGGAAAATTTGCAAATTGCAGCCCAAAAGCTCATATAAATTGTAAATTGCAGCCCGATTCAACTTTTTTCATTGGTTTACAAGTTGAAAAATCTTCGGTTAAGGTTTTAGGGGTCATTTTAGCCCTTAGTGGTCCGAATTGAGCTAAGAATTAGCAAAAAAATAATGCAAGTATCTCGTTTTGCGTAACAAAAATGTATCGATTTGTGGGAAACTGTAAATATGAGACACTTACGTTATTTTTTTGGGAATTCCGAGCTCAATTCGGGCTCCTAAGGGCTAAAATGACCCCTAAAACCTTAACCGAAGATTTTTCAACATGTAAACCGATGATAAAATTGAATCGGGCTGCAATTTACAATTTATACGAACTTTTGGGCCGCAATTTGCAAAAAAAAATAAAATTAAATGGCTGCAATTTGCAAAATACAAACTTTAAATGGCTGCAATTTGCAAAATACAAACTTTAAATGGCTGCAATTTGCAGATTTTCCTAAACATATTAACGGTTTCTTACAAAGGATAGTAGTAGGTTTAGCCTACAAAGCTCCAAAAAGTGACTTTAGGTCACAACTCTCCTAAGAAATCACTCCAAATTTCTGCCTGCCTATTCTTTCCCTTCTCTTTCTATTTGTATTAAGGGACTATTAACCTAGCAAACTAATATTACTAAAATTCCCATACTACCACCCTTTAGGTTAGTCTATTACACCATATTCCATTTTTGGCATGTGGTTTGCAGATTTTCCTATTGGTCTTTTGTGCTCAAGTGCGCGTAGTGCATCATTTCATTTCATTTGTCTCTTTTCCGTGTTTCATATCACATGTTGTGAATCTTATGATAGATAATTCAATAGATCTTTAATCATGAAAACCTGATAAGTTAAACCACTGTAATGAATGGTACGACCAGTGGACTCTCAGGATCTTCTTTTTGCTTGCTCTCTTCCCTATAACCCTGTGGAGGGTTTGTTCTTTTTGCATAAAATGTGTATCCTTCACAGTGTACCAGAGGAACAATAAATTCTGCTTTGCATCTGTTGCAAAACCTTGTACCATTTTAATCTGTGTTTAACATCTTATAGTTGTGGTGTGTTATGTTAGGCAGGCATTATCCATATAATGCAGTTCCTAGAATATGTTTTCATAAGCTGACAGTAAGACCTGTTAATGATATATGCAAGAACTTCACATCATAAAGAGGGATCATTTGGTGAAATTACTATAGTGACTAAATTGCTCACAGAATTTTCAGTATGACCTGTTCGTTAAATTTGATGGTTGCTTTTTTTTTAGGGAAACCGCTTGCATAAGTTGCTTCTCAGTCACTGGCAAAAGTTCACTTTTAATCCCAGGTAATTTTTTGTATGGCATCTTATAGCCCCTTGTATTTTCTTCTGATTGAAAGCATTTTTCCTTCAGTAACTGATTTTTGCTTAACATAATGCCAGGATTGCCAGTAAGCTTTGACTGGGCCCTGACATAATTTTTTTGTTGTTGTTGGGGGGGGGGGGGGGAGGAATAATATAGAACATAAATACTTAGCCATTATGCCACCACATTTTATATACATAATCCATGCATATATTTTGTATTTAATAGCACAAAAAAAAAAAGAGAAAATTGTGAAAAAAGACCTTTTAAGTGGTCAACTTTTTGAAAAAGGACCTTTTATGTGAAAACTTGTGAAAAAAGACCTTTTAAGTTGCATTTTGTTTATATGGGGTACTTGTGTGAGCTTGCGACCTTACATGGTGGTCAATGCCGGAGCTCCGACGTTGACTATCACGTGACTTATTTTATTTTAAAAAAACCCCCAAATTTCCCTCATTTCCCGACCTAACTCTTAGGAGGGAAATTTGGGGATTTTTTTGTTTGAAAAAAAAAAAGTCACGTGATAGTCGATGTCGGAGCTCCAGCATTGACCACCACGGAAGGTCACCTGAGTACCCCATACAAACAAAATGCAAGCTAAAAGGTCCTTTTTCACAAGTTTTCACTTAAAAGGTCCTTTCTCAAAAAGTCTACCACTTAAAAGGTCCTTTTTCACAATTTTCTATAAAAAAAAAAAAAGAGGGTGGGGGGGGGGGGGGTGGGGTTTATAAGTTTCAACTAAGATAATCAGATGTTTGTTTATATTTTATGTATTGTCTTTGTTTCTTCTTCTTTTTTTTCCTTTATTTTTTATACGTTGTCTCCTCGCTTTTATACTACTCTGTCGTGTACTCCTTAAGTGGAAAAGGATGTCTTTGCTGTTAACTGAACAGCAACAATTTCTATAAACTAGACTTCAGATGCGTTTAAGGACAGGCAATACATTACATTGCCTCCTTGGAATAATATAGAACATAAATACTTAGCCATTATGCCACCACATTTTATATACATAATCCATACATATATTTTGTATTTAATGGCACAAAAAAAAAAAAAAAAAAAAAAAAAAAAAAAGAAGAGTTGGGGGGGGGGGGTGTTATAAGTCTCAACTAAGACAATCAGATGTTTATTTATATTTTATGTATCGTCTTCGTTTCTTCTTTTTTTTCCTTTATTTTTTATACGTTGTCTCCTCGCTTTTATACTACTCTGTCGTGTACTCCTTAAGTGGAAAAGGATGTCTTTGCTGTTAACTGAACAGTAACAATTTCTATAAACTAGACTTCAGATGCGTTTAATGACAGGCAATACATTACATTGCCTCCTTGGCTCCTTCTATCACAAAACTGTACAATAGTCAGAAGCTGAACCAAACATGTATCTTAATTGGCAACAATTTTAAAAGGGAACCTCACTTAATAGCTGAACCATAAACATGCATCCTCTGTGCCGACAACAAAGTGAGCTTCTTACATAAACCAGCTGAATCATTAACTCGTGAAAACCTCCTATTTAAACTAATTTTCTTGAAAAAACCCCATCTTTCTGCAACATTAGCTTTAGGAAGAATCACAGGAAGTCCAACATATTAGTAATCTATAACAAAAGTTATCATCTAGTTGATGGCAAGGGGCTAGGCATCAGTTATGTTTCTTATGAATTACTAAGGCCAAGGTGTACTCTCTACTGTGCAGTATCTATAAACAGGATGAGACATTAAAAAAAAAAAAAAGGAAATGTGGAGTAGGCGTGGACACTATTTAGAAAGTTCTTTTTTTATGGAATAATTTTGTTAATATGTGTTTTTTGGTTTTTTTTTTTTTTTTTTTTTTTTTTTTTGGGGGGGGGGGGTGTTTGTTAGTAAGGAGGTAATATTGTTTATACATTTTAAGAATCCACAATACTTCTCTTGTGTTGACTTGTGAATCATTTCTGCTTCTGTACAGAAGAAAGAATTAACTGTTTTCTTCTTTTTATGCCTTGTTGTATACTTGTATGCGTCTTAAAATAAGAAGCGTAATTGTTATTTTTCTTGTTTTAGCTCAGAATGTTCGCCTTGTCTTGTAATCAATCTCATCGCTATTAGAGAAATTATGATAGTACATTAACATGCAATTCAGTAGTTTTCTAGTGCCTTTTTAGGTTAATTTTTATTCTATTTCTGTTTTATTTGTAATTTTCATTAACGTATGTTTATATCTCCCTTTATTTGTTTCTACTTTCCAGTGGGGGGTTACGGCTGAAGCGTGACATAACAGAGTATGGAGAATTTGTGCGCAGCTTCAATGCTCCTTCTGTCGATGAGCATTTTGAAGTATTAGGAATGTAAGATGCATGAGACTGAAACCATTTAGTATACCATCTGACATTGTTCACAAATCACAGCTAACTTTTTTTTATTTTATTTTTTTGTCTCCAGTTTGGCTAATGTCTTCATTGTTGCCCCTGAAAGTCTCTCTACTCTGTTTGAGGGGACCCCAAGTATCCGCAAAGATGCACAAAGGTACTAGAATTTCTATATTTTGTGTCATGATGTCCATGGTTGGGATTACGCTAGAATTTTGACCTTCTGTGTTTCATTCCTTACCAATGGCTCTTTAAATAACGAAAGAGTTGTTTATATATATATTTATATATATATCTTACCTAGTTGCACTTGCATTTGTTGCTTTAGTTTCTGAATCCTAGATATCAAACTGCTCCAGGCAGCATGATATTATTTCTTATATGCCCATTACAGACGTAACACAATCTGCAAATTTAAGCCTAGAATGCCCCTTTACAATGAAAAAGAGAAGCTCACAGTGATATTTTGTCTATGTATCTCTTACCTGAAGCTGTTTGTCAGCTATCTCCTAATTGTGCACATTTATTTCCGATTCAGATTTATCCAGCTTCGGGATGACTACAAGTCTGCAAAACTTGCGGCAAAACTCAGCTCATTGTGGCCAAGTCTTGGTTGAGGTTGCTAGTTCAAATCACTTCCCAAGAATGTCCATGAAGAAGCTGTGGTGATAACTTTTGCCAGATTCTTGAGCCACGTTGCTTTAATCTGGAATTCAATGCCCATCTGGTACCCAGCATAACCACTTCTTCGATCTGATAGCATCATGGAGTTGTATAAAAGTTGGCAGTTCTTAATCCAGTCTATCTGCAGTTTCAATTCTAATTTTTTGGTTGTTACATATGTATATTTCAGTAGAACTGGTTGTGTCGTTTAGTGATTTTTTTTGTTTCGTGTCTTGGTCTTCTAGCACTAGACATTACTCTTCAGCTCGCGTTACAAAAGTTGGGTTTTCTTATTTTATTTTATAGAATTTTTTTCGAAGTAGAAGATGGTCGCACTTATGAAGAGAAATCTTGTAGATAGTCTATCGATGTAAGTTGAATATGGTCAATTGTCCAGCATAAAAAATTGTAACCTTGGTCTGACTAGTGTTAATACTGTGCATCAGAAATATTTTGCATGCCTTCTATGTGTATTCAGTTTTTGTAGAGCGAAGCTGCTTGTACCAAATCGCGCAAGGTTTTGAATTTGAACCTTAACAAGTGAAGGTGACCAGAGGTGGGAATCTTTTTAGCTCTCCCCTACTTCTAAGAGTTGTGGTCATGGTTGCCTGTGGCGCCTGGGCAGTCAAAGTGTCCTATTTTGGCTATTCCCAGTTAACCGAAGTTTTTAGAGGTTCATCAGGCTCGTATGCATCAAGTTGTGCATCGAAATATTTCCTGCAAAACGAAAATAACTACGTGAAGTTGAGCATGAACTAAACTGACACAAAATTGACCCGACTTTGATACAAGCCATGGTTGGGACCAGCAGATAATAGCTGGGACTTGAGACCAGCCAACTTTAACTAGTCCTTCATTGAGAAATGAACATTTACTATAACAAAAATAAACATTTTCTAATTAAATCATATTTTACATTAATATTGTATTTCTTAATAATCGTATCTTCATTTTCATTCAGTAAGATACTCATTCTTATAAAACAAAATGTTTACTTTCATGTGATGTTTACTCTTATAAAATAAATAATCATTTTTTTTAATTAATACAAATTTTTGTATTTGTTTAGTTATATTCGATGTTCGTTTATAGTAAAGGATGTTTAATTAACATTAACATTAATAATGTAAGACATTAGCATTTTGTTCATTATTAAAAAAAACATATTGTTGATTTATTTATTTGGTATTAAATCATACGTAGTACTTCGTATAATTCAACAAAAATTGAAAGATATTCATTCAAGAGCATTGAACAACTCAAGGCATTTCATTTGAAGCTTAAAAAAAATGTTGTTGAATAAGCAACATTATTATATGTTTATTTTAATTTACAACTGAAATTTTCAGTTATATGATACTCCTTCTGTCTCTAAATTACATTCCTATTTCTTGCATTTATTCCTCACATAATAGAGAGAAGTAGGAATGTAATTTAGGGACGGAGAGAGTATTAGATGTACTTTCTTTCTTTCCTTTTATTTATTTATTTATTTTTAAGATTTATAGTCTCTTTATTTTACTTTTATATTATAAATGTTCATTTTTTATATTACAATGTTCAATTACTAAATGTTTATTTTTTTAATACATATTACTTTTTTCTAATAAGTATTCATTTTTGCTGCGCAGGGAACATCCAGTTATGGCTAGTCATGAGTCTAGCTAAAAATTTGCGTGCTTGGGACATTGAATTTTAGAATAGAAAGAGTGGAAATTTCACTTTGCGGTTGAAATAGTTGTGGTCTTGTGGACCTTGTGGTGGGTCCAATTGTCCAACCAATTTTGAATTTAGAAAATAAATAAGTAAATAATTAATTAATTGATTGATTAGAGGGCCCTCAGAAAAAAAAAATGGCCTTAATCTTGTCCTATGCATTAAAGCTAAAATTTAGTCATCTAACTTTTTTGTTACATTTGTTTTTTTTCAATAAAAAAAGTTCAGATAATTTCAATTCAGGATAATTTTTAGTTGTAATTTGAATTTGGACCATCCTTAGCTTATTTTTTCTAAACTGAACTTTTTAGAATTTATTAGATATAAAATATGTGTAAATAAGATGAATAAAATAGACCTTCGTTTTGCATCTAATGCAAATTTTCACCAATTTGATTAAAATTAAATTTCCTCAAATCATATCAGGCTTGTTTTGATTTATTGAACTGATTTGAACTGAACTGAACTGAATTGTTCATGAGAGAAGGAAATTAGGGACTACACTGAACTGAACTGAAATTAAGATGAAGCGAACAAACTTTTAAAGTTAACCTAAAAGAAAAAAAAAACCTAAATTGATTAGTATTGTTCGATATATACTAATATTATTGTAAACTGAGTGAACATATAAGTTTTTGATACTCCAAATAGATGTTTGATCAATTTTTTTTCCCAAGAGATAAAGTTACTCTATTCATCCCACAATAAATGAATACGCTGGACTTTTGTCAATATTTATATACTATCCATGTGTTTTAATAAGTGTTACACTTTGACAATATTTTTAGGCAATTTAAATGACTTAAATAAGAGATAAGTAGGGTAGTTAGAGTATTATCAAATTGTTAAAGAAAGATGGTGAAGTTAATAGTTTATTGAAAAGTAATAAATGTGAGAGAAAAAAAAAATAATAGTAAAAAACAGTAATGAGTTTGGGTGGAGGCTATGAAAGGAGAAAGATAAAATATTAAAAGTACCTTTTTTTTAACGGAAAAAAGTACCTTTTTATCAACAATAAAAGTGTAACACTATTTAAGACACGGTCACATTTGATAAATATAACACTTAACACAAAAAAGACTAAGGGGGAGTATTAACTTTGATTATTCTTGTAATATTTTATAAACGTAATAAAAACATACTACTAGTTATCATGAGATACATTATTAGATAGATATTAATATAAAAATTTCAAATATAACTTAATTTTGTACTCCATACTATACTTTTTAGTACGGAGTAATATTTTATACTGCGTATTTAATAAGAATAATGTTAAACTAATGTATTACTTTCTCCATTTTTTTAAATGCATTACTTTCCTTTTGTAGGTGTTCTTATAAGTGCATCACTTTTATATTTGGTAACTTCATATTATAGTTTATCATTTCCCTCTTAGGCCCTATTAACTTCACCTTAAAAAAAATAATATTAATTAAAAATAATTTCACTTTAGTAAAAATAAGTTCAAAGAAGAACCTCAAATCATCAAGATCATCGGTTCAACCTCTGCGTCAAATAGTCATTGATCGAGATCAAGCCTCGTCGGCCCTCAATCAAGAATTCAAGTCAAAGGTCTACATCAACAGCAAGTCAGTTCAACCTCTGCGTCAAATAGTCATTGATCGAGATCAAGCCTCGTCGACCCTCAATCAAGAATTCAAGTCAAAGGTCTACATCAACATAAGTCAAAGTTCTGCATCAAATCTTCGATCGAGATCAAGCTTCGACTCCATCGACGGCCCTCATTCGAGAATCTGATTCGATCTCCACTTTGACTTTGGCGTAATTCACGGATTGACTTGATTCTCGAACGAAGGCCGTCGATGGCATCGAAGCTTGATTTCGATCGAAGATTTGATGCAGAATGGGTATCAGATGATATATTTCAAGTATATCGCTAAAAAATGATGAAAGGAAAAAAGTCAAAAGAAAAAAAAATAATTTCTTTGGAGAAGTTTAGAGTATTTGATGAGAAGTTTTCTCTAGAGAGGTTTTAGAGTATTTGAGAGGTTTTCTCTGTATTTTGAATTAATTTCAGTTCAGTAAAAATAAGTTCAGTTCAATAAAATTCAGTTTTCTTAAAGAAGAATCATAATAGAAAATCAGCAAAAATAATTTAAGTTCAGCAATTCAGTTCAATAAAATTAATTTATATTTCAATAAAAATAATTTAAATTCAGCAAATATAATTTTGTTTCAGTAAAAATAATTTCAGTTCATTAAAAATAAGGTGAAGTAAACGAGACTTTAATTTAAAATCACTTACATTATTTTATTATTTCCCTCTTTCTATAATAATCCTCACTAAAAATATTTCCTAAGTTTAACTGTATTAATTATTGAACAGGAATGGAGTAATGGTAGAAAAAGTTAAGGGGCGACATGTGGGACAATGGTAAGCCAATAGGAGGTGATCAGTTAGTTTGGGCAAGTGTTTTGGAAATAATCTTACCCTAATTTACACGTTTCGGGTGTTGGCAGGCGATCATGCGTGGCCCTTTGTAAAGAAAATTTTGACACATTTCATATTTTCATGTGAATGTGATTGTGACTTTCCTGCTTATGTTTGACCATTTTATTCATCTGTCCTTTTTTTTTTTTTTTTTTTTTTTTTTTTTTTTTTTATAAAATAAAAATTAAATTTGTAATAAATGACTCATGCATGACGTATGGTGAGGTTTCAAATTTTTCATAATAAGGTTTTGATTCAAATTAGGATGAAGACTACACTTGCAAACTCTGCCTTATTGATTGGAATCATACAAATTACAGTACTTCCTCCGTTCTTTTTTACTTGACCCGCTTTGACTTTTACACTATTCACTAAATCACCTTTGACCGTCTTTAGTGAATTACAAGTAAAGAAAAACATATTCATGTTGGATCTTGTTAGAATCGTCTAAATAAGTACTATCACAATATATAACATTTATAATTTTTACTTATAGAGTATTAAATTATTGATGGTTAAACTTATGCATTGACAAGCGGGATAAAAGAACAGGTCAAGTAAAAAAGAACAGTAAACTTTTTGCACTTAATTAATATTGTATACTCATTAACACAAAATTTTAATTAATAATATCTTTAATTATCAATAACTATTAATATTAATAAAAAAAAAGATTAAAAACATTTATAAAACTAAATTTATGGCCTGTTCTCTTTATATTATTTTCAGTTCAGTTTAGTTGTTAATTTCAATCTGTCATAAAATTTTCAGTTCAACTTACTTCACTCAATCAGAACAGACCCTTAATATTATTAGCTATAAAAGAATAAAGCATAAAAAAGGAAGTCCTTGTCCAAAAAAAATTAAAAAAAAAAAAGACAAAATTACCGAAAATTTAATTAGAGCTTTTGTTTTGAAAGCAGGTGAAGTAAAAGATATTACTCCGTATTAATTTATTAGGGAGTGATGTATGCTCTCAACTCTGAGGGATTTTAAAGGGAGGAATGTTAGGCATGTAGAAATGCATAACAAGAGATATTCATGCAATTATACATATGTATAAACAAATGCATATTTTGGTATCATTAAATGATCAAATGGTACCACTAAATATACAGTGATATTATATATGCGCACAATGGTATTATTTATGCATTGAGTTGTACTAAATTTATGCATAAATAGTACAACTGAGAATTCAATGGTACTATATAAACTTTTAGTGGAACAATTAGCTTGTGATCCTCTATCACGTGATACAATCCGACCAAAAAATAGGTATGATCTACCTACATACCTCTTGCTTCCTATTTCTCTCCGCT